TTGGCAGTCCATGGTATATTAAATACTCTTCTCCAGCACCACAGCTCAAAGGCATTGATTCTTCTTCTGTTACCCTTAGTCACAGCCCAGCTCTCTAACGCACAGGAAGGAATTATGAAGACAATGGCCTGGCTTAGGCACCCCTTAGTCTCTAGACTGATATCACTGCTCTATTGTTCATAGTTGTCAAACACTAGTTATTTTGGAAGCCCATGGCGAGTCCTTCTTCCCAGTCTATCTCAATCTAAAAGCTTCACTGTAACCTGTATACCACGGGTGTACCCCAGGTACTAAAATACCGTTTGCACAGCTTCCAGCATCACAGCAGGCAGCAAGCTACCTCTGACAACTGACAGACAAGAACCATATTCATACAAACAAACAATGAAAAAGAAAGTATATATCTATACACAGACTATAAGTCATACTCAGCTCACCAACACTTAACAACAAGAAGGTACCCCCAGAGTTCCCTGTGTAATATATATATATCTTATATGTATGTATGTATTGTTAGGTGCCGTCAAGTCGTAGTCGACTCATAGTGACCCTATGAACAAAGGACCTGAGCACTGTTCACAGAGTTTCTGGAGGCAAGCCATTTCGGAAGTGGATGCCACTCCAGCTTCCACACTTGTTTTAATCGGGAAGCTCCAGCAAACACTGTCTACCACGGGTAACCATTATCACATTTGGCACATCAGTGTCACAGTGTTCAGCATCACAGAACCATGAGTTACCTCTGTACAGCAATGCAGAGACAAGTGCTATACCACCTAGAAGAATGTTAGACAAAAAAACCATTTGAACCAGGTCTGAGGGGAGCAGATTAAAATCACCCACCTTGGGCTTGGTAGCATAACTTTCTGTCCAGTAGGCCAACATAGCTCTCTCTATGTTGTCGTTTGTTATTACTGTTAGGTGTCATTGAGTCGTAGTAGACTCATAGCGACCCTATGAACAAATGGCCTGAGCACTGTTCATAGAGTATCTGGAGGCAAGCCATTTTGGAAGTGGATGCCACTCCTAAAAATACATGCACACTATAGAGTCCATAGGGAGTTGCAAGCACTTCCCTGGCTGTTAAAATCCACCAACTTCTGATACAGAAAGATGGGCTATCACCTCTTGTGTAATATGCAGCCTCCCAAAAGCCCACTTGAGGTTCAGCTATGAGTCCGTTCCAATTTGACAGCAGTAAGTTGAGATTTTTATATTTTAAAAAGGGGGAGAAATGCCTTCAAAGCAATTCAGAGAGATTGTCCATCAGGTTTCCAAGGCTGTAAACATTATGCAGGCAACACAACCTTGATTACTAGAACTCAGGGGGACTACAGCCTTCAATATGATTTGAAGCTCTACATCAAGAAGATAAAGATTCTCACCAATGAGACAATTGGCAGCACCATGACAGATGGAGAAGAGAAGGAGATTTTTAATACTTCCAACTTGCTCAGCTCCACAATTAACACTCTAGGCACCAGCAGTCAGGAAATCAAAAGACGAATTGCATTAGATAAATCTGCTGTCAGGAATCTTTCCAGAGTACTGAAAAGCAACAGTGTCAATCTAGAGACTAAGGTGTGCCTAATCCAGTCCATGGTCTTTGCAATTTCTTGTTATGCTTCAGAAAACTGGATAATGATTAAGGATGATTGAAGAAGAATTGCTGTCTTCAAGTTGTGGTGCTGGGGAAGAGTTTTGCACATACTATAGACCGCCAAGAAAACAAATAGGTCAGTCTTGGAGAGGGTGAACCCAAGTTTCTCCTTGGAAGCTAGGATTTTGAAGCTACGTCTCACATACTTTGGGCATGTGGCCAGGAGAAGGACATCATGCTGTGAAGGGTAGAGCGACAGCATAGGAGAGGAAGACCCTGGATGAGATGGATTGATAGAGTGACTACTCCAATGGGTGTAAGTGAGCTGGAGTCAGTAAGACTGGCAGGCTTCAGAACTATTGTACGTAGAGTTGCTATGAATCGCAGGTGACTTGATGGCACATAAAACCAACAACAAATCTTTAGGGGAGATGACTGCCCACCCTTCTCCCACAGAGCTACTGGTAGATTCACACCACTGATCTTTAGGTTAATATCCTGTCATGTTATCAACTAAGTCACCAGAGTCCTTCATACTTATATTTATATATTATATTTATTTCCTAACTCTAGCTGCTGAAAGATCCTTGATGCTTGATGCCAAAATACAAACATACTTCCCAAGTCACGGTCAGACTCCAGTCAGAAAAATGGAATCTACACAGTAATTTGGACAGGACAGTTCCTATAACAAATAGTTTACTCAGTCACAGCTGGTCTAGAGTTACAAGGCCAAAGCTGAAGGGCAACAAACCACAGGCAAGGATTGTCACTCAGGAAAACTCCCTGCTGCAGTCAGTCCAGCAGGTCACAGAAAGGAGGCAGGGTCAGGTAGAGTAGCAACAAAAATTGTTAGAGGGTTAACTCCACTAATCATCGTACACATGCACTACTGGAAGCAGAAGCACAAGTAATCATAGGGTCACAGAATTTGAAGGGTGGAGTAAGGGATGGGTAAAGGAAATGGGAAAGATCTGGTGTGGCAAAACAATGTATATGAACTCTGTAAGTAAACCACTATAAAATAAAAATTTATTTAAAAAAAAATCCAAATATCTTGAGGACTCAGATTTACCTGAGTATGGTATTTTCATTTCCCTCACATGCTTCAGAAAACCTGTTGGAGGATCAGGTATGGGTCAATCCCAACTCTACAGTACTCAACAACAATAGCATGCGCTTGTAAAAGCTAGACAATGAGTAAGGAAGACTGAAGAAGAATTGCTGCCTTTGAATTAGGGTGCTAGGGAAGAATATAGAATTTAGTATGAACTGTCAGAAGAATGACAGCTATCTTGGAAGAAGTACAACCAGAATGCTCCTTAAAGGGAGTGATGGTGAAACTTGATCTCACATGTTTTGGACATGTTATCAGGAGGTACCAGTCCCTGGAGAATGATACCAGGCTTGGTAAGTAGAAGGTCAATGAAAAAGAAGAAGGCCTTCAATGCAATGGATTGATATAATGACTGCAACAGTGAGCTCAACATAGCAACAACTGAGTGGACAGCATAGCAATAGGCAGTGAGTTTTGTTCTGTTGTATGTAGAGTTGCTATGAAACAGTTTGCCACCAAAGTGTTCCTCAGAAGTAAAGATGGTGACGTTTAATCTCACCTCTTTGGACATGGGGTGCTTCATCTCACATGCTTGAAAGGTAGAGGGTCAGTGAAGGAGAGGAAGACTGTTAGCAAGATGAATTGATACAGTCACTTTAACAGTGGGCTCAAGTATATCAGAGAAGATGAGGATGACACAAGTTAGGGCTAGGATTAGATCTGCTGTTCACAGGGTCACGGTGAGTTGCATTCAACTGGATGGCACATAACAACAACAAATCTGTCTTATCATTTATGGACACATGTACTTGTTTTTCTTAATGTTTAGAATCTGTCAATGTATTAAATTGTTTTGATAATAAACTGCTTTAGCTATAGCTCATAAAGGCCCCTTTAAAGTAACTTTTTTTTTTTATTTTATTATTTTGTGTGTGTACCATCAAATCGGGTCTGGCTGGTACAGGAGGAGACTGTCCCTCCTTCTCCAGGAGAGCATCTGGTGGATCTGAACCACATACCTCTGGGATTGCAGTGCACGTTCATGCCACTAGACCAGTAAACTGACTTTTGTGTCCTTGTAGCATGCTTCCATTATACATACACAAAATATACACTTTTTCTCTCCTCCTCTTTTTGAGTATTTATATTCAGGCAAATGATGTTTAGCACTCATCTTAAGTTTATTCTTTTCTCCCTGGAAGCATCCATTTCTTCAAGAAGCATTAGCTTTAAGAGAGGAATGCTGGTAGAGCCTGCCAGTTATTCATTTATTACCTCTTGTCTCCAAACCCACTCATCATTGCCTTGTACCTCCTTTTCTCATTGACTTGGATATGCCTACTCCATAGAGGGTATTGAAGGGATTACTGAAGGAGATACAAGTTAGGCGACACAGGTTAGGCTTCATCTGACATACTTTGGGCAGGTTGCAAGGATGAACTGATCCTTGGAACTGAACTGATCATGCTTAGAAGGGTGGAGGGACAGAGAGAGAAAGACCATCGATGAGATGGATTGATACAGTAACTGGGGTAATGAGGATAGATGTGTCAGAAAAGTAAAGTTGGAACAGCATAGAAAGGGTTTCAGGGCTATTGTACATAGGGTTGCTATGAGTTGAAAGAGACTCAATGGCACATAACAACAACAACATGCAGAAGATTATCCTGAAATACCTGAGTGGCTATTAGATGCTATCCTAAGAGGCATTATAATAACAAGGCAAAGGGAGATTTCACATAGATGAGAAAATATTATAAAGATGGAACAAAGATAGATTACAATATGCAAACAATGAAGATTAGAGAGATGCAACCACCAAAACTTGGAATAAGGGATGAATTCTACCTTGGAATTTTGGAAAGAGTGTGGCCTTACCAACACCTTGATTTTGGTACTGATTTCAGACTTTTGAACTTCAAAATATGGACAAATAAATTACTTGGGATTGCTGCTGTTTCATGAAAGGGAAAAGCAAACTTATTTTGAATTAATGAAATTTTATACAAAAATTTTTTTTTTAAAATTTCAAGTGCTTATTGAATTAATTACCTTAACAAGAGGGGCTTCTGACTTCATAGTACACTACTTCTGGGTTTGGGAGATATACATAATTAAGTAATAATCACTTTTCAAAAATACCTATTTCGGGGAGCTCTGGTGGCCTAGTGGCAAGAAGCTGCACTGCAATCCCAGAGGAACACGGTTCAAATCCACCAGACGCTCTGCCGGAGAAGGAGGCGCAATATCCTCCTGTACCAGTCAGATCTGATTTGACGGTACACGCACACACAAAAAAAATTTAAAAAAAAAAAAAATACCTATTTCAAAATGCTCACTTACCAAATACTATTCCTTTAGCAAATGGAGGAAATAATTCTGAATGTCGGAATAAGTTTTTGTGAATTTGCCAGAGTTCTTTGTGTAGCTTCTTAAAGTCACTGTATCTCTTCCATACGATTATCTATGGAGAAGGAAAAAAAATCATACGTGTATCTATTTAAGTTCAGACTTCTAAACTAGAAATCACTTCATGAAATATTCAAAACATTCATGCAAAGGGAAACTTATTTGTGCTCTAAACAGTATAAACAACCTACCATTAACTGTTAATATTTGCTATTGAAATAAAGCAGCAATTCTTATTCAAACTCTTCTATTTTGGTTTTTAAAATTCATGTTAAACCAGTACTGTTTTCTTCATGCTGGGAAAAACATTAAGGCTAGTACAGACATCTATCTTCATTCTGGAAAAACAGTCAAACTGGTATAAAGAAGGCAATACATAAAATACCAATTAATATCTTAAAAAATTTCAGTAGTCAATTAACTACTAAGAAATACATACAGTTAACTGTTAATGTTACTTTTAGGTGCTGTCAAGTAGTCTACAACTCATAACCATCCTATGAACAGCAGAGCTGACCGTGTACACGCTGATGATCTCCACCATACTTCACCAAGCCCACTGTGTCAATCTATCATATCACATTAAGAGTCTTCATCTCTTTCACCGGCTTTCTAGATTTCCCAGCATTAAGTCTCTCACCAACAATTGGCTCCTTGTGACAACATGTCCAAAGTAAGTAAGAAAAAGTTCACCATCCCTGCCTCTAACGAGTATTCTGGATGGACTCCCGTCAAACCAGATTTGCCTGTCCTATTGACTGGCCATGGGATGTTCAATATTCTTCTCCAAAACCACAATTCAAAAGCATCAATACTACTTCTGTCATTCTTAGTTATTGTTCACCTTTCAGATGCACAGGAAGCAACTGAAAAGACAATGGCTTGAATCAGGCACACCTTAGTCTATAAGCTGGCATCCTGGCTCTTTAGGTTTGTAGAGGTCCCTGACAGCACATTTCTCCAATGCAGCATGTCTTTGTGCTGCTACTATGAGTGCTGATTGTGGATCCACATAAAATGAAACCACTGATAAACTGTAACTACTGATCTTGGAAATAAGTTAAGATGTCAAAACATATACTCTGTCTCAAAACTGCCCTTTTTTTTAAAAAAAAAAGACACCTGCTTGTTTAGCAACAGAAAATACTATATGTAGATAATTTTTATCATAGTACATACTCAACTTTAGTCTAAAGTATAAATAAACTGAAAAACAATGAAGAAAAAATTACTTAGAAAATTAATGAGTATTTTTGCACTAATAACCTGTCAACTTAGAATATCACTAAGATTTCTAGAAGCAAATGAATCCTGACCAGACTGTCCTTAAAATTATTTCATTTCAGTAACAAGTAAGTTTACCTTTACTGTCTTGAATTACTATTTTGCTTTATTCTGATAAAATTAGAAAATGAAAAAAATTTTCAAAGAAAAACTATTTAAAGCATGAGGTCTTAGTTTCACTGATGCTGTCCTTCAGTCTTCACAAAACAGACCTTAAATGAGCTTCACATTCTACCACTGGGAGCCCTTTAAATTATGTCCTTTTAGTTGCCCTTTAAATTATGTTACTGGGAGCTCTGGTAGCCTGGTGGGTAGAGCTGCACTGCTAAGCCAAAGGAGGCACCTCACTGAATCCACCCACTGCTCCTTGGGAGAGAAATGGGCAATCTCCTCCAGTGCCATTTACAGAGAGTTTTTGAAAACCCACCATTCCAAATTAAATTGGAGATTGTCTTTTCCATCTCATTGAAGAATGGAATTGGTATTTGTATTGGTATTGCATTGAACGTGTAAATTGCCTTTGGGAGTATTGTCATTTTCACAATATTAAGTCTTCCTATCCATGAGCAAGTGATATTCTTCCACCCCACCCCCCACCCCCCAGTTCTCTTTTTGTTTCTTATGATAATGTTTTGTAATTTTCTTTAAGCAGATCCTTTGTGCTTCTGGTTAGGTTTACTCCTAAGTAATCTTGTGATTAGCTATTGCTAAGGGTATTGTTTTTCTCAGCTCCAGTTCTTTATTACTGTAGAGAAATCTAATTGATTTTTGTATGTTGATCTTGTATCCTGCCACTTTGCTGAAGTGGTCAACTATGTCTAGTAGTTTTCTTGCTGAGTCTAAACTTAGGGTTTTCTAAATAAACTATCATATCATCTGCATACAGAAAAAATTTTACCTCCCCTTTGCCAGTCCTAATCCACAACATAAACAGTCTTCTAAGCATCCTGAAAAACCTACAACCAGAAGAGGATAAAACAGATGAAGGGGGCCTTCTAAGAATCAAATCTCTATGCACATCCAAAAACTTCTCCAACAGGATAAAAAGGGAAGCCACAGACTGGGGAAAAATATTTAGTAATAACATGTCAGACAAGGGACTTATATCTAGAATTTATAAAATACTTGAGCACACAACAAAATAAAGGTAAATAACCCAATTTAAAAAATGAGCACAGGATATGAACAGCCTCTTCTCCAAAGACAGTCAGATGGCAAATACACACATGAAGAAATGTTTAAAATCCCTAGCTCTAAGAAAGAGAAAAATCAAAACAACTATGAGATATCATCTCACCCCAGTAAGAATAGCAAAATTTAGCAGAACAGAAAACATCAAATGCTTGTAAGGTTGTGGAGAAACTGGAACCTTTATTCACTGGTGGTGGGAGTGTAAAATGGTGCAACCACTGTGGAAGGCGGTGTGGTGCTTTCTCAAAAAGTTGCAAATAGAGATACCATTTGATGCCACAATTCTCCTCATAAAGTCTAGCCTCCCAAATCATCTGTTCTGCTTATACACTGAAAAAGGATGGAGATAGGATATGTCCCTGCCACATTCCTTGCCTGAGTTTGAACCATGCACTGTTTCCTTGCTCTGTTATAGCAACTGCTTCCTCATCCAAGTGTACTTTTCACATAAAGACAATCAAGTGTTCTGGGATTCCCATTCTTGTCAATATTAGCCACAATTTTTATGATCCACACAGTCAAATGTCTTTGCATAGTCAATGAAACACAGATAGATATTCCGCTGATACAGTTAAGATCCATATCATACTGGTCTCAATGTCCCTAGTACCACAGCCTCTTCTAAACCCAGCTTGCACTTCTGGTGCACTCTATTGATGTACTGTTTCTGTCAGTTTTGGATAATCATCAGCAAGATTTTGCTTATATGTAATATTAGTGATACTGTTAAATAATTTCCACACTCTGTTAAACCAACATTTTTCAGAATGAGTATAAATACGGATCTTTTCCAGTCAGTTGACCAAGTAGTTGTCCTCCAGATTTCTTGGCACAATCTGGTAAATATGTTCAGAGCAGCATCTGTTTGCTGAAATATGTCAATATTTCAATATCCCAGTATGTCAATATCCCAGCTATTCCTATGGGTTTATTTTTTTGCCACTTTCTTCAGAGTGGCTTGAACTTCCTCCTTTATCACCATGGCCTCTTGATCATACGTTGTTTTATGAAATTCTTCTATGTCAGCCAATTATTTCTGGTATAGTGACTCTGTGCCTGAATCATTCCGTATTCTACCCATAGCATCATTAAGTATTGGGATATGGGGCTTAAATTTGTTCTTTAGTTCCTTAAGCTTTAAAAAAAAAAGTGGAAGGTTCAGTTTTAGATATACATGATGTGGCTGCTTGTGAAACATCTAGTTAGAGATTTTCAGTAAGGCAGATGGTTTGGGATTTAAGAGAGAGACCGGAAATATAAATATATATGTTATGTTGTTGTTAAGTGCCATCAAGTCAGAACAAATCCATAGCTGACCCTTTAGCATACTCTCAAAGGCAGGAAATAACATGGGAGATTGTCCTTCCTTCTCCCGTGGGGCAGCTGGTGGATTTGAACTGGGGGAACTGCAGCACAACCTCTTACCACTAGGCCACCAGAGCCTTTATGCCTATGTTGGTGTTGTTCTGTGCTGTCCACTATGACTCATAACGACCCTACAAACAGTATCTCTGAACCTTGCCCTATCCTGAGCCAATCTCACCATCTCCGACACACTGCTTCCCATTTCCAGTTACTGTGTCAATCTATCCCATTTAGGGTCTTCCTCTCCTGTGCTGACCCTCCACCCTTCCAAACATGAGATGTCCTTCTCCAAGGACTGGTCCCTCCCAGCAACATGACTTCTTGGCAACATGTCCCAAACTTCAAAATTCTTGCCTCCAAAAAGCAACATGGTTTAATCAGCTCTGAGGCAGACCATATGTTCTCTTGGCAGTCCCTGGTATATTCAATACTCTCCTCCAGCACAACTAAAGGTATCAATTCTTCCTCTATCACACACATATGTGTATGTGTACATATATTTAAGAATCATTAGCAGATAAAAGGTAATCAGGGCAAAAAGATTTCTTAGCATTTGTAAAGAGATGAAGAGTAGAGCAATGGATTGGAGAAGAACTATAATACTGGGAAATCAGTCAGAAGAAACAGGGGGGAAAATCAAGCATACAATGTTTACGATGCATAGCTATGCTGTGGGACTGGTCACTAGGATGGAAGGAGATTTTTATTTTAAAAAGGCAATGAACCAGATAAATTCTACAAGCATATACTGACAGAGACAGTACTTGCAGTGAAAGACAGAACGAGATCTACTACCCAACGGAGCCTACCAACAGTTTTCTTACAAAAGAAAAGTAAAACATCTCTGAATAGAAACATTACAGGTGATTTTAGATTTTCATATTTTTTTGTTACTGTACTTTCAAGTTTGAATACATGAAAATACTTCTTGTCGTGAGGAGGAAAAGTTCTACACTTATACTGTAAAAATATATCAAATTATAGCAGACCCACACTACTACAGGATTAAAGGAAGATTTGGCAGATATGTGAAAGTAGTAAAAGCAATCTTTAAAACTACTATAAACTAGAAAAAAGAGTTACCTAAATTGTCAGAGCAGGAAGTACAATCCCAAGATTAAAGTCTTATTTCTTCATCTCACACTAGTGTGTTTACTCACTGGTTGTTGTTACATGCCATTGAGTCATCTGCGATTCATAATGACCCTAAGTATA